TGGAGGGCTGGCTGCTTCGTGACGGGAAGCACATTCCTGTCCTTAACCCCCCTGACAGTGCAAGGCTTTAATTGAAAGAGCCTTCTCTGCTGGTGCCGGCCGCAGCAGAGAGCGGTGGCTCTGCCAATTACCTGTGAAAATGCCACGTTTGCACTGAGCAACGCTCAGGCCCCAGGTGCATTCCCAGCGCTCGGACACTGCTCAGGGCTGCTCCTGCAGCACCTCCAGGAGCAATCCCAGCACTCAATTAAATAGATTTGTGGTATATTCACTTGTAAACCCAGGGTGAGCATTAATAACATTTTGATTTTATATTTCCTCATTATTTTTTTAAAACAACAGGCGCAGGATGTGGGCACAGGCGTGGATGCCCTGCCAGCTCCCAGCACCTTGTGCTGTGCCGTTTATACCAAAGCCCAAGTTAAGGCTATCAGTGAAAAACAGGGTCAGACCCTCCATGACCTGAGGAGGGGATGGGGACAAGGAGCACAGACACAAACCCCACCAGACCCAATGGAAGAGGAACCAGCCCTTGGCTGGGAAGGGGCCGCTAATGGCAGTTTGTGCCCTGGAGTCAGCAAAAGCTACATCCCAAAATTACATTTATCAAACAAACAATGTCTTAATAACCCCAATGCCTCCTGCTTCAGCTCCTCCGGGAAGCCATGGTCCTGCAGCATCCCACAGCCGCGTTTCGGCAGGGCTCTCCGCACGGCGAGTCTTGCTGAGTGCCTGCAGCAAAGGAAAATATTTGCTGCATTTCTCGTTTTCTGATTTTATTACCAGCTCTTACTCACAGCAACAGTAAATTAAACCCAGAGGCACAGTAACCCCCCCCTCCCATCCTGACAGCTTGAACACAGTCCTCAGGCGGCACGCAAGGAAAATCACACATCAGAGGAGGTCAGGGGAGCACGAATAAATAAGACGAGATTAATTTTGGAACACTGCGCAGTGAGAATGGGATTTGCCGGGGAAGGAGATCACAGGGTCCCACTGCGGCCCCGGCCGGTCCTGCCCATGGAGCGGAGCACGGAGCGGCTGCATGGAAACAGTGCTTCCAGCAGCCATGGGGGAAACAGAGGGTCACTCTTCTTCCCAAATTCCACCAGAACAGCTCATGAGGTCGTGTTAATGAAGCAATTTAATTAGTTCTTTCCTTGCACCAAGCCATTTGCTGTAGGGTCAGCCCCACGGTGCTGCCCTGTGGGGACAGCAGTGCCACCGCTCACCAGCGCGGGAGGTGGGGAGAGACTGGCACAGTGTCCCCTCACTCGGCGTGGATGGTGGCTGCGCCCTTGGCCCTTCCCTGCCAGGACTGGGGCTGGAGCTGGAGTCCTGCAAACAAATCCCCCCCAAACACCCTCCTCCTCCATGGCTTCCCCTCCATCTTCCTCGCACTTGTTGTTTTCAGAAGGAAAGAGGGGAGATTAGAGGGCGAGTGTTGTTTTCAGAAGGAAAGAGGGGAGATTTAGATGAGACATCAGGCAGAAAATCCTTCCCTGTGAGGTGGTGAGGCCCTGGCCCAGGGTGCCCAGAGAAGCTGTGGGTGCCCCCTCCCTGGCAGTGCCCAAGGCCAGGTTGGACGGGGTTTGAGCAGCCTGGGCTGGTGGAGGTGTCCCTGCCCATAGGGGTTGGACTGGATGAGCTTTAAGGTCCCTTCCAACCCCAACCACTCTGTGGCTCCATGACCCTGCGATGCCTGACTGGGCAGCTGGGCAGACCACAGCCAGCAGCAAAGTAAGCTGGAAAAACAATTTTGTCTGTCAAGTTGTACCATAATTGTTTTACATTCCCCTGCACAGAAGGGAGGATTGTTTGAATGTCCAGGGCTCAGCTAGGGAGAACGGTGCCAGGGAGGGAAGTTGGGATCAATTATTTAGAAGAGACTTTCGGTCTCACATCAAAGGTTTCTTTTCTGTCTTCATACGTCTGCTCCAAGTGCCATTTCCCCGTGGCATTGGGCACAAAGCAGACACAGCAGCTCTGATTAGCACACCCAGGAGCCAAGCATTTTTCTGTTTTCTGTGACTCCTCCACCCCCTGCAGCCGCGAGCCCGGCGGCTCTCACCCGGGCTCCAGGAGCGAGCCTGGCTGCTGGGAAGTGTGGAGTCAGGATACACAACTTGGAAATTAATGGCCTGTTTGAACAGCGGGGAAGAGCTCTCCAGGCACAACACGGTGCAATCCAACAGCGCTGGGTTCAAGCTGCCGGACCCCTCATCCTTCAGGAAGACAACCTGTGGTGCACAAACTGCCCCAGACCGCTCGGCAGCGGTGGCAGAGGCAACGAGAGTTAGGAAGTACCACACACACGTCCAACAAACAACAATCCATCCAGGCCAGGAGGTCTGACCCAACCTCTGCTGAAGGCACTTCTGGTTTTAAACGTATCCTTCAAAGGCTGCAGACCTCCAGCCCACGATGGGCTCAGTAAGGGCAACCAGAGGACCTCGGTCATCTCCAGGGTTTGTCCACGCTCCAGCCCTACTCTCCATTTCCCAGGGAAAGGTTCCTGTCCTGTAACCACCTATAAATGCAGCCACCAAAGGGACCCATGGCCAGTTTGCATCCCCTCATCAGAAAAACAAAGCTCTAAATTGTGTGGCTGCTGCAGGAGATGTGCTCCTCGTGGGTCTCCTCAGAGCAGCTCTGTGGACACAAAGCCACCAGCGCCCTCCCTGCACTCCCCCCCATCTTCCCAGCCCCGTCCCCAGCTCATGAACCTCTCTCTTAACAGGCACCAATCCTCTGTACCCAATCTCAGCAGAAATGAATCTCTCCAGCTCAACAGGCTGCTGGCTGCTCTATCTCCACTTCAAAAGCCATTTTCAAGTTCTCTTTGCAAGAATTAATTCTTTTCAGCAGCAGGGAACAACCTCCAGCAACTGCAGCATTTTCTGTACAATTGCATTAACCTAAATCTGGATGATCCTTGCAGGGAAGGTCTCCAATCACTTCTGGATGGGCCTGGGGCCTGCTGGAGGTGCAGTCAGGCCAGTGGCCTCAGCAAGGGGAGGGCAGAACAAACCACTGACCTGCAGCTCTGACGCTTGAAAACATCATTTTGTGTGAGAGGAACGGCCTCCCTTGGTAACGGCTGCCCGTTCATGGACATGATGAAGGAAAACATGACACAGGGTAGGGAACTGGTCACATTTCAGTGTTTACAACCACCACGGTCCTTGGTGGTGCCACCAAACACATTTCTTGGCTTCAAAGTTGTGCCGCCAGGCTCTGGTTGTGCCTGGAGGCATCCCTGCCAGCTCCTGATGCACTTCACATCTGTGGGCCAGGGCAGCTCAGCAAAGGAGGCAGCTTGGAAGAGCATCTTCAGTGCTCTGGTCGGATGACAAACCCCTCAAGGCAACAGCACCTGGAGCTACTGCTGAGCAGAAGAGTTTACACAAAGCAGGAATTAGCTTGATTATCCAGCCAAGAGGAGCTATCGGCAATGACAGATGTGAGACAAGAAGAGCAAGCACCAGGGGACCTCTGAACACGTCCAACTCACCTCGACTGCTGCAGCCCTGGGTGGGGAGGAGCGCTGGAGGTTTCTTTCCAATGCTTGACAACGCACCGAGTGACTCCTGCTGGGGTTAGGAACAGAAAACCGCAAGGTTTCTTCACACATCTGATATAAGTTAGTAGGGCAGAGAGGTTCTCCTGCCCCTCTGCTCTGCCCTGCTCACACCACAGCTGCAATCTTGTGTCCAGTGCTGGGCCCTCAGCTCCAGAAGGACAGGAACTGCTTGAAAGAGTCCAGCAGGGCCACAAAGATGCTGGAGGGAGTGGAGCATCTCCTGCTGAGGAGCGGCTGAGGGAGCTGGGGCTCTTCAGCTTGGAGCAGAGGAGACTGAGGGGTGCCCTCATTCCTGGGGATCCATTGGGAAAGGGCAGTGTCAGGAGGAAGGAGCCAGGCTCTGCTCTGGGATGGCCAATGCCAGGACAAGGGGCAATGGGCCCAAGCTGGAGCACAGGAGGGTCAAGCTGAAGATGAGGCCAAACTTTGTGAGTGTGAGGGTTATGGAGCATGGCCCAGGCTGCCCAGAGAGGTTGTGGAGTCTCCTTGTGTGGAGACACCCAAAGCCCTGGCCGTGTTCCTGTGTGACTGCTCTGGTGATCCTGCTCTGGCAGGGGTTGCACTGGGGGAGCTTTCCAGGGCCCTGACAACTCCTGACATTCTGTGATAAGCAGAGGCAAGTTGGGCTCTCAGTTGCTGACAAAGTTTTCTTTGTGGAACCCAACACAAAGAACCACGCAGACATCTCCATCCAGCAAAACCCCCTTTATTTCACAGGGCAAATACAGCCAAGTGGTGATTCCAGAGCTGCCCCGCAAGTGTCAGCTCCATGATCCATCAGGAAATGTTTGGCTCGAGGACCCAAGCTGTACAGTGAGCGTTCACATTCATTGATTTCTTAGGTTTAGATTTCAAGTGAAATACGTTCAGACTTGCTCCTGTCAGAGCACCGCTCCCAAGTACGTGGTTGAAAGTCACTGAGGAGTTAATCACAGTTACCTGAATCATCTGAAAATAAAGCGACCCACAAAGCCCTCCCTCTCTCTAGTGCTGCTGCTCAGAGCCTTCCCAGCACACGGCAGGATAACGTCCCGTTGTTCTTTGGGCTGTTGCAGGAAAACCAGCAACTGGAACTGACAGCAGCAGAAACGAAGGCAGTGTTTCACTGCACGTTTCCCATCTGCCAGGCTCAGAGTGATCAACAACCGTGTTGGCTGCTCACACCGGCACCTGTACGGGGAAGCACGGCAGACATCAGTCACCTTCCACCCGCGGTCACAGGGCCTTGGGTGTGCTGCAGGTATTTGTGCTTAGTGCTGGCAGCTGAATGCCCCACACCCTGTCTGGAGAAGGATGAAAGCTTGCTTAATTTCAACTAGACCTTGTTTTGGGCTTTGTAAATATCTGATAAATAAATACGGCTGCTGTCAGTGGGAATGAGATGTAGCTTTCAGCTGGCAAGGTCAGACTCTTAGTGCTAGCCCGGCTCTCCCGTGCTGCTTGCCTGGCCATCCACACTGGGGACATTCCTGCGCTGTCTTAGCTGCATTTCTTCATCCTGAAGGAGAATAAATGAAGAAACAAATTAGTAAAGCACAAATTCATTCTTCAGCATCTTCTCCAAGCTGCACAAAACCTGCCCTCTTCCCCTCCACCAACCGTTACCCACCAGAGATCAGCCCAGCTCCTCACTGAAAGCACCGATGCCATCTCACTTGGGCAGGGCACCTACCCAGGCCGGGCACCTTCCCAAACCAAACTCACATGCTCCCACTGGGAAATTGTTCCTGTCCAGCACCACAGGCAGGTTCTCCTTTCAGACCCACCAGCCACGCCAGCTGCAGTGCGAGCAGGGCTACGACCCTTCCCAGCTTTGCTTCCCAGGCTTTGGGCCGCATCGCGTGAAGCCTGGCCCAGCACTGACCCATCAGGGTGGACCTGATGTCCCACAGGATCAAGCAGCGTTGGTTGGAAGGGATCTCTGAGGGGTAAAATACAGTTTTCTGCTCTAAGCAGGGCTAACTGTAGTGCTCAATCCTGTTTTCAGGGCACTGATTTGGTTTTCAAGTATCTGCAAGGATGGTTTCTACCACCTCCCTGTGCAGCCCACTGCAGTCCTCAGATGTGCTTACTGGGAAATATTTAGTGATTTATTTCTTTAATCATTAACATATACACATATACAGCTATAACTTTATAATTTTGAATCCTACACATATGTGTATGTTCATGAATAACCCATCTGCTAACATAGACTGGTCATCCAAAACCAGATCAAAAAGAAACAGCTTCTAGGAGTCTACGGGCTAAATATCCCTGGAACATGGATATATGGACATGGGGAATGTCTTGTTTCCTGAAATAACAGACCTAATTAAGTTGTCCCTGATTTAATCACAGGCAAACTGACTTCATTACAATACTAAAATATCCACCCACAGGTCAAAGAGCCCCCTGCCCAGGTGAAGACGCTCACCCTGCACAGGCGCAGTTTGATTCGGGAATGAATCAGCAGAAGATATAATGACATGTAAATTGCTAACCAATCATCGTAACTGAGAGTGATTAATCTTGTAACTTTTGTGTATAAATACTACAAGAAAACTGGCACTGGGTGTGCCTGATCTGTGGGGATCCACCGAGCACCCAGGCCTGAATAAAACGCAGCATCTGTCCCAAGCGTGTGAGAACTGGTTCACTGCACACCACGCAATGAATCCGCTTTTTAGACAACATCTGTACTCAACGAGAAGCAAAGTTATTTCTGCACATGCCCCCTCAGCAAGTCCTTTCCAGGTGCTTCTCTCCATCCTCTCCCGACACCTCCACCCCACACAAGACCCAGCAATGACACAAGCACTGCCTGTTTCCAGGGCAGTTCGTACCGAGTCCGAGTCTTCTTCAACCTGGTTGCCTACGAAATCGATGTAATCGTCCTTCTGGTTGTCCAGAACTTCTTCCTCGTACTCAGTCTGGTAGTCTGACTCATCTAGAGGGAGGAGAGATCAAAACCACTGGTTTTAACTGGTGTTCAGAGGAGCTGGAAGAGGGATGACAGCTGCCTCTGCTGAGCACCGGGCAGGCAGGGCGGCTGCTGCCAACGCCGCAGCTCGGTGACCTGGGACGGCTCGAACGCAGACATCAGCTGGCAGCCAGGCCACAACGTGAACCGTGTCCTGTACGTGAACTGGTGCTCTGCAGCCCTCCAGAACCCAAGGAGCCTCAAGCAAGAGCAGCAAACTTTCCCTGTCATTCTGGGGGTGCCAGCTGCCCAGATGATGGGACACCAACGCTGGCCATGGGAGGATGCTCCCTGGGGAATGCTCTTCACTGAACAGTTGCTGTCTCCCACCCGTCAGCCCAGACAAGACCTGATGAACACCTTCAGAAGAGATGTCTATGAGCTACCAATGCAAACTGCCCTAGACACATCGGTCCCAGACTCACTGGAAACAGGAACTTGCAGGCACAGGGCGAGCTCTTCCTGGTGCAGAGATGGTAACTGTGTCTCCCAATCACTGGTCCACAGGGGACAGTGACATTTACAGTCCCCTCCTCTCCACAGGGGACAATCACCTGCTCTTTCCAGTAATCCAGCAGGTTAACATAATTTATCATAGAATCACTGAGGTTGGAAAAGACCTCTAGGATCATCAAGTCCAACCATCAACCCAATGCTAAACCATGTCCCAAAGTGCCACATCTACATGTTTTTTGAACACCTCCAAGGATGGTGACCCCACCACTTCCCTGGGCAAATTTAGGGAAGCTGAAGAGCTGTGCACACTGAGGCACAGCAGCAGGACGTGCCTCCAAGCCCCCAGCACCAAAGTCTGCTCCCAGGGAACGAGCTACATCAGTGCAGGGTCGATGGCTCTGGAGATCACTGGAGGGTCTGCAGAAGAGAGACTTCCTGACAGGACCGACTGGCTCCCACATCAACTCAGCACTCAACAGATGTGCCAGGGCAGACACCCACCATCAGCCCCAGTTCAGCCCCCAGTGCCCCAGCAGCCGCTGCTGAGCCCACCCAGACGTGAAACCAAAGCACACAGGCAGCAAAACCAACCTGGGGCCACCGGGAGGGAGGTCATCACCTCCTCTTGGTGCCGTTCCTGGCACGTGGTTTTTCAGAATGCGAGTTAAGGCGTCAAAATGGCAGAAAAACTGAGTGCCAACAGTTTTTCCACCACTTTCATGCGTCAACTCAAGTGTGCTCCGAGTTGCTGAAGCAGTACCTGTTTTTCAGCCCACTAGCGAGGAGAGCGGCTCGTGTTTAAACCCCATTCTTGATTAAGCGTTTCTTTTGGGAACAGTCAATAGCATCTGCTCCACGCTGCAGACAACAGCACAGTCTGTTCCACAGCATTTTCTTCTCACACGATAACTACACCCAACTGCTATAGAACATTAGGATTAAAGACATTTGGTCTTTTTCTTAATTATTTTTGTAATTATTATTTTTTTTTACTGTGGATCAGAGAATTATTGTTGATTTATACCGAAAACACTGCTGAGAATCTTTGATAAAACACACCAGAGAAACTGGAAGCTCATCCAAACAGCACCAGACAGCACAAACAATCGTTTGAGGTTTACAGCCCAAATAAAACTGACTACCATTCAAAACCAAGCTCCTTGATTCCCCAAGCATTATTCAGCATTTAACAGGTCTTTACACAGACACAGAACAAGCGAGGGGCGTCCCTTCTCCCACCCTTCACACAGCAGCTCTGGCTGCTGGAGGACAGAGGGGAATGGAGAACAGAAGCTGTCCCTCAGTGTCACCTTCCACCGCCTCCCACACTGAGCACCTGGGGCTCATGGCGCAACTACTCCTTTACGCTCCAAAACCTCCCAGAAGCATCGGTGAGACCGAGGCCTCGTCCTGGACCAACACCCAAGCGCTGCAGCTCGAAAATGAGCCAGCGAAGAGGAGGTTACGCCAGGAAAAGGGGCCCAGCTGTTAGCAGTTGGAGCACATTCAGGGCAGGAAGGGCACACGACCGCTTCTCGTGCCAAAGATCTGCTTTGTGATTCTGCAGCTTTTAGCATTTCTTTTATACCTGCCCAATTTCTGCAGGCAACTCCACATTTGAAGACCACCGGGGCTGTGTGGCCAGAGGGTTTCTGCTGCAGTAACACGGGCAGGCTTCGATGTAAGTCAGGGAATCGGGCAGCTCATCAACGCACGGTCCATTAGAGCTTCTTGAGAAAAGTGCTTTTTAAGCAGCAAAAATGCACTGGGTGATCTAGTGCCTGATAATTGTGTCCCTTGAGAGGTTTTGGGCTGTCTCCTGCTTCAGCTGTATTGCCAAACCAGGCATTTGACACCACCATTAACATTTCTCATTCCCAAACCTTCTTATCTAAATGACTGTTGCTATGACTGCTCTGCTGCGTGACTTGAGCTCCTCCAGCCATCCCGTGCAGCACGTGTGCCACCTCGCCTCTCACCAGGAGACCTGGCCATGGGGACAGCCCCAAGCATCGCTGCTTTGAAAAATGAGGCATGAAACCTGCTGTGGGAAACCACCAAGGAGCCCGGGCAGCTTTGGTCCTCAGAAATCCCTTACAGGTGGGAGCGTGACAGGGACGCGGCTGAGCCACCCTCGGAGGATGGCATCTGTGCTCCCCTGGCCATGGCTGCGTAAAATCCAATCACAGCTGCACAAAGAGAGAAAATCCCAATTGAGATTCTCGTTCTGGACGCAGAACAGAAACACGGCCACAAACACCACTGTGCTCAGCTGTGAACACGAGCTTCTGCTCCCCTATGGACGCTTCTCCACCTGCTCACCAGCAGCACAGGTACCCTGGGTCCAGCACAGCTTCCCTCTGCTCAGCTCTTCCTGTGGGACAGTCTCTCTACTTTTTGTTTCTTTAATGGTTTCAATCATTGCTCTCAGTTTGCTCAAGAGTGGAGAAGAAGCTTGACCGCCCTTTCCCCCCAGAGGAGATGGGGGTTCTGACCTGGGGGGTCCGCCAGCCTCTGCCCATCAGGGCCCCTCACCCTTGTACTGACACTTCCCTTTCCCCTGAGCTTCCCATCAGCCACATCATTTTCAATTGTATTCTTTAGAACAAAATTACTGACGTGATTTCTCCACCCAGCCTGAGACTGTGAGGGCAGGCAGGACCTTTCTAAATCCCCGAGGTCCGAGAAGGGGACTCGGGAAGGGATTTCCCTCCAGCTGAGCTCATCTTGGTTCAGACTGCATCCCCCACAGCTCCAGACACCTCCTTAGCAAAAGCGACGCTGTCCCGGAGGCACCGAGGCGATGCCATGCTCAGAGCAGTGCCTTTACATATACTGCCCACCAAAAACACGGGAAAGGTCCTTGCAGGCAGTGCATGGAGTCCCCACACGAATACGAAGGGTCCTTCAAGGCACAACTCTCCTGCCATCCCCCACCTCCTCCGGAGCCTCCACCACCACCAGCTTTCAGCATCCGCAGCAGCACATGGCATCTGCCATCCCATCCCAGGTAGCCCCCACGCAGCACCCCTCCTTAGCCCAAAATCTGCCACATCTACTTTTGGAAAGACATGTCCCTTTGTTGCACTCGTGTTGTTGGGCCTCACCCAGCAGAAAGCACATCTTCCTAACGAGGGCGAATTATCCAAAACCATATAAAGGAGGAAGATGTGTCCCAGTGTGCTGGTTAAATCTCAGCAGGTCTCAATGCCTATGCCTTAAATAACCACGTTCCATGAACTCTTCATTCTTATTCACAATGGCGCTCTCAGCCACATTTGATTAATATTTTCTTCATATGGCATATGATTGCAATTAGCATTTCAAATTACCACAGGGACATCTCTACAAACACAGTCACAGATGGGAGGGCTGCTAACTTTAGATTTCCCTCTGCAAGAACAAGAGCCAGGAGGAGGGGAGCAACCGTTTATAAGGAGCTCTAGCACGGGTGAAACGCTGGGACATTTCAGGCCTGCAAAGCCCTGAGTCTTTTTGCTAAGGAGCATTGAACAGGGAACTGCTCTGCAGGGCACGGCTCGGGCACGAGGCACTCGAGGGCCTTTGGGTGCGGATGCAGGAGCTGTTACCTGTTCCTCGTTGCTCCCCATAACGGGCGCACAAAAAGCAACGGAGCCGGTGAGTCACTCCAGATCCTACTCACGACAGCAGGGGAAAAAAAACCCTTCAGTCAAAGCTTTAAATCAGCCTCCTCCCATCTCAAAAGGACACGGACCAAAGAGTGAAGCCATCACAAGGACATGGGCCAGCACAAAAGGAACAGAGCCTGTGCTTGCAGGAGTTTCCTTGTGTTATTTCACCCACAGCAGGGATTACTCCCAGCAGGAAGCCACAGTGGACCCCACCAGCAAGGGGCTGGCAGTGGATGTCCCACCGTGACAAGAACGTCTGACCCCCAGCCTCTCCTGGAGGAGGCAGCAAGAGGGGGACGTGGAGGGTCTGGTTTGGGGTAACCTGTCGGGGGAGGCTCTGGATGGGGGGGGGGTGCAGCCCATCACTGCAGCGTTGCTCAGCAGGCACCGGAGCCAGCAAAGCCTGAACCTCCGCTCACCGTCTGCCACGGGCGCTTTCACGGGCTCGATCCTGGACACGATCTCTGCCAGGTCCGTAAAAGAGGTGGTGGGACAGGTCACGTTCTGAAACACAGGAGTAAGTTTTAGACACGTTAACAAATATACACAAAAAATACAAACAAATCAAGACTCTATAAAAATGATATTGAACAGACAGCTCCAAACACACAAATGCTCCACGACTGCCCCCTCAAAAGCCGTTACTCATCAGTGAGTGGTCCTCAAAACAAGTCTCCTGCTGCAGGTCTGATGGCAGAGACGGGATTCAACAAGTGCAAACAGTGGGAAAACCTCTAATGGCTCCTTCCCCATCCATGCAAATAGAAGCCTTATTAAAAATTGAGCAAACTATAGAAAAGACCACAAAGACAAGAACCGGAGGGTCTGGACCTCATGACAGACGGTGCTCGTTTTACTTGCTCGTTCTCATTGCTGTTACGTTATCAGAGGAACCGGCTGGGCCATGTGCAGCCCCCAGGGAACTTCTGCCTTCCCTTGGGAGGAGAAGGAGCCCCAGTGCCCAGGTGGGACACGGTGCATGGCCCAGCCCTGCGCCTGTGGAGCGATGCTGTGGGAGGCTGCGTGGACAGACAACAGCAGCCCAGGCACAGGACCCATGCGTGGAGCTGGAGGTGCTGCAGCGAGCGGGAGCCTGAGGCAATGGTCCGCCCGCAAGGAGAAATATTTCCCACTGTAATTCCTCTTTTCAATAAACCCTTTCTATTTTTACTCTGTCTCACCCAAGCAGTGGGTTGAGCGTTCTCTATTTTGAGAAACTGCTTGCTCCAGTTTCTCCTCTATTAAAACCCAACTTTGGTATTTGGGAACCGTTCTGGTCCTTCCGCACGCCACGGTGTGAGCAGCCCTGCCCGCCTCCTCGGGGCAGGCACAGGGTCACCAGATGGAAACCTGGACACCCTTGGTTTAAACCCAGAGATTTTAATTAGGACAGCAACAACCCCCATCTCGGAGCAGAGAGACCGGTAAGAGCTGGCAGGGACACGTTACCAGCGCTGGGCTGCCGGGAATCTTCTGAATTCTGCCGTCCTTCTGAATGCCCCCGTGCTTCCAGACAGGGCAGTCTCCTAACACAGGGTTTTATGAGCAATTCTTTGCTCTTCTGGCAAGAGCACTGATACCATGAATCATCCAGCCCCCGTGGGGGTCACAGCAGAAGCCCGTTACAGCTGCAGCAGATCGCTCTCAGTTGACCTTTAATTCGTAACTAACTTTTGATGTGATTTAGGCTAAAGCAAGGTGGGGGAATCCAGGACAAACAGCTGAGGGGGAGCGGTGGACAGAGAAAAGCCCAGAGGGAATTAAAAAGTATGAAATGAAACAGCGGTAGCTTAGGACACAGACTTAAAATACACAGAAGTCAGGAAGCTCAGAAGCTGAGTCTGACCACTAAGGAACCATCAAGAAGGGTGAGTCAGGCCAGTCTCATCTTGAGCATCCGACCTGAATGGCCCCAGTAAAGAGACTGCAGAGGCTGTTCTCCAGGAAAGGGGAAAAAAGCATCCACATCTTCATTTTGTACCGTTTGCCTAAGCAAGGGACTTGTGCAAACTGGCCACCAAGCAGACACAGCAGCGCTCAAGGCAATCGCCTGGACTCTCAAAACGTGGCCTCTTACCAAGCGGACACCGGGGCTGCACCCAGTGCCCAGGCAAACCCACACCAGGCTGTGCTGGGAGCACGGAACAGACAGGGAGCTTTGGAGGGGACAAAAGTCCAGAGCACGACACAGACAGCTGAGCAAAACCCTGCAGCGACCGTCACCAAAGGGTGCTTGGGGAAAACCATCGGCTTGCGTGCTCCCACGGATGGGTGGTGAGGACAGACGAGCACGAAGACAACCTAAGTGCAGGGGCATCTGTTCTGGTAACCAACACACAGAGCAACCCACGGGTACCCCATCAGGACGTTCAGTGAGGGAGCTGCACCACAAAGTCTCAGTGCTAAGACTGGAACCGTGCTTGTGGGAAACCAGGTGTCGTCCCACGCTCGCCTGATGCTTTTAAACAGGGATTTAATGTATAAACACGTCCCCTTACTACTTCTAAGGGCAAAACCACGCTCCCATCAGTTAACACGAGGCAAAGAAGCATCGCAGATTCATTTAAAACCTGCTCTAAAACCTTTCTGCTGGTATTTTTTCTTCCAAGGAGGAAAGTATTCTCTTTGGCACAATCTTTATTAAATAAATTAGAGGAGAAAGACAGTTACTATTGTAGTCTGCTAGATTATATTTAGCTTTGACTGTGAATAACACTTCAGTAGACAAAACTTCCCCAAGGAGATCCAATTAACGGTATCGCATTATTCCGTGCTGGGGAAGAGTAAGGGTTGTTCAAGTGAAGTTTAAGTAAGGCTCCTGTTGTTTGTGCCTTCAGTATTTGCATTTTTGAGACAAGATAAACAGTGATCGAGTGATGAAAGCGAAGGAAAAGTATCTAAATGATTAAATGTCTGGAGTTTTAAAGTAAAAATTCAGTGCTTGCGACATGGAAACAAGATGATACGAAACCCTGCTCAGCTCTCAGATGTTGCATATTCCAGAAATAGCTGAAGAACTAAAACACACGCAGCATCAAAACCTTTACTAACAAAAGGCAAGTTAAAAATATCAGCTGTTATCCCTGGAAGATAGCAGAGCTAAAGGACTTAAATGACTCTAATGGACTATGGAAAAAGAAAAGACAAACACCCTGGTGGGAGCCTGCAGTACTTGTTTGTTAGAAATTAATCTACTGAAACAGAAGTCAGAGGAAAAGAAAAAAGAACATTAAAATCTTGGTTTTTCCTGGACTCTCAAGTTTCCAGAGGAAGAGCAGATCCTGTCCCCGGTTCTTGGGAGCACAGCCTGGAACTGAGCCTTCGTGCCAGGCTGGGGCACACACGAAGCCGACGGCTCCCGCTCCATCACCCGGGCAGTTCTTTGAGTCGCTCTCCTGAACCCGTTATTTTCATACTCCTGGTGTCCCAGCAATCAGCTCTTTCTGCCTTGTTACCAAGTGCATGCACAGAAATGCAATGACAGGCTCTGTCTGCAATGGGTACCTGACGTATTTGATCTCCAGGACAGTTAAAGACCATAAAACCCAGGGCAGATTGTGACAGATGGTCAACGTGCTGCTTGGTGCACAGCTGCAGTGTCATGATTTGACCGAAATATCAGCCTGAATTACTGTATTCCATATAATGGGCAATTTTAAGAAGAAGTCTTATTTAAAAGAAGCATTTGTTACAGCAATGAATGTTTGAGTTTGTTACCAGTTGGTGATAAAAGCTAGAGGATGAAACGGGACATATAACCGTTTCTGACACACACAATCTTCCCTCTGTTGACTTCTCCTTATGACCATTAGCACACACAACCAAACACACACCAGTTTATAACCAGTCTGAACATGAGGTGTTGGAGGCAGAGTGGAAACCCATCTTCTGCAGCTCAGACCTAGTCCAGCTCATGGTCCCAGTAAGAACAAGCTGATGAGTTCTGGGGCTCCACAGGCCACCACCAACAGTCTCCCAGTCCCTCTGTGCTCCTCCCACAGCCACCACCCTGCCAGGCAGCGTGGGTGGGATGTGTCTGATGATGGGAAGCCATCAGCGCTGGTCCCCTTGGCTCCCTTCACGCAGCCGGAGCCGAGGATGCCATCCATCTCATCCCCACGGAGCCATTTCAAAGTGACTCACATCCTCCAGAGCTCATCTCTCCAGTGATAAATGGGGTCCAGGGCAACCAGCCCAGATCACCCATCCCTGCAGCACTGCCCTTCCTCTCCCCTTGTTCACACCATCTCCCCTCTAGCAAAAGTGCTCAGCCACCCATCCCTGAAGAGCTGCAAGTCCTCAATGTCATCTTTCACCTCTGCTGACTTCCTTCAGTGAGGCTCACTGCAGTTACGATGCATTTTGGCAGGCACTTAAAATATTCCTGCTCATTTCCCCATCTTTAAAAGATGATAAAGATGAATTACACGGTAAACCATGAATTCTTTTGTAGCACTTGGGTTTTAAATCAGAGGGACTCAAAGGAAGGTAAGGATAACAAGACAAGATATTATAATATTGTACCCAAGTTCTCAAAAAAGTGGTAACTGTTTCCTAAAAACAATGGAAACTTCCCTGCCAATAAATTTGTTCAGCCCATTGAGTTACTGAACTAACTCTAGAGGCTGACCTCACTCTTCAAACTGTAAAACCAAGAGAATTTTACTCTACTCTTAACTAGAAAACTTAACAGGCCTGTAACCACACAGCAACACTACGTAGCCTGTAGATTGACCGTAACTGGGTATTTACCAAACTGTACATTAACTGCTCGGATGTGCTGGAGTGGGCAGAAGGTGAAACCCAGTACCTTGAAAGAGCTGTGAGCTTCTGCTGAGCCTCAATGACAGCTCCACAAAACAGCTTTTCTAGCAGAGGGGTGAGGAAGAAAAGCAGCAGAACAAGAAACCTCTGGCTTTGCAGGGATTTTAACTCTTGGCTGAAAACACATCTCCAGCAGGGGCTTAATTCAGGTTTTCTGGAAGCATCTGAGGACAACTTGAGTCACATCTTGAAAGCCAGCAATGGCAGAGACCGACGCCAGTGATCCCAATTCATGTCCCGTGTGATGAGCACTGGGCAGCTGCTGTGAGAGCCACTGCCCTGGCAGAGCAGTTCCTGGTAGCAACACCACCAGGCACCACCTGAACTCTGTGGCACAAGGATAAATGAAAAATCATGCTTACAAGGTTCCTCGTTCCTACCCAGCACTGCTCAGGGAGGCTGTCCACGCTCACTTGGGGTACAGCCATGGGTACGGATGTGACCCATCCCCTGAGACCAGACCATCCCCTCTCACAGCCACAGCCCCACTCCAGCCCTTGGTGCAGCTCTCAGTGCCCCCAGGACTGCTGGTGCATGCAGGGAAGGAGAAGAGAAAGCAGCATCGCATCTCAGGAAATGCTGGTTACAGGTGGGTGTCCTGCTTTCCTTCGAGGATATCTGTGCTGTGAACAATTCCAGGTCACAAACACGGCATCAATCACAGAACCAGACTGACTGGGGTGGGAAGGAACCTCTGAAGATCATCCAGTCCAACCCCCTGCTACAGTAGGATCATCTAGAGATAACACCTCCAGGTGGGGTTTTAACACTTCCAATACCTGTTAGAATGAAACAGCACCAGCAGAGCTGCCCTACAGAGCACTACATCGGTTCCTGGGGTCTCAGAGACCCCATTGCACTGGCTGAAGGTATGGATGGGTCTCTGTGTGAGCACACATCGGGTACCAGGGATGGACGGGCAGACCTTGGAGCCTCGGCTCTGGCACAGCACACTTTGCTCACACTTGTACCTGATGATCAGGGATGAGCAGGACCTCATCCACCCAAGCTGTGGTTCAAGGACAGAAGTTTCTGAAGAACTATCATACCTTTTCTTGCCCAAAGCACAGTTTTAATACCTGCACGCTCACAACAAGGACTGGAGGCAATCGATCGCCCTCCTTCAGCAGTTTCTGGTGATGTGTGACCTGGGGTGCATCGAGCAGCAGAACTGCGTGTTTAAACAGAGCACTTACATCAGTTTTGGCTTTGTAGGTCTCTTGCCTGTCTTTTAGCATCTTGTCAAGGACTCCACTCCTGCACCAGACGTTAAATACGGTTTTCCCGTGCTGATATCCCACCTCCTGGAAAAAAATACATAGTTAGGGGGGAAAAAAGTAACTAATAACTACTGTTCAGCTGAAGAATCGGGGGATGATTAAGCAAACAAGGTGCTATTTTAAGCCCAAACGCTACCTCAACCTTTGACCCCACAGCGTGGAATGAAAAGTGCCACTTGACACAACTATTTTTACAGCTGTGGCTTCAAGCAGGCTGCTCACAGAATAATGTGGGATAAAGAGAAGTTTAGGAGCTGTGTATATACACTTTTACAGTCCCGGCTCTCTCTCTGGAAGCAGATATTCATTAATTGGTGTCTTTACCTCACCTTGGCTCAAGTCTGGCAATGAAAAGTTACCATAGGGCGCCTGATTCCAAAATCTCTTGCGATAAATTACGCCAGGCAGCACTGACCATGCAAGCACCAGTTTGCTGGAGCACATATGATGACACACGGGCAATGCCAAACCCAGAAACTCCATGTTCCTCTAATTTAAAAGTATAAAGTAATTTGTGCTTGGAATAACATAGCATGGCAACAACTGGAAAAAATAAACCGATTGCTCCAAGTTTTACCTTTTTTCTAACAAGACAGCAGAAACAGTGCTGAAAAATCAAACTGAAAGGACACAGCAACGGGTTCCAGGAGTCCCAGGTCCTATTTCCAGCTCCCACGCTGGCAGCACGCACCAAACCCCAGGCTTGCAGGGCAGCTCCGGGCACTGGGGGCAGCCCCGGCTGAGCCGGTGTTGTCTCTCCTCTACTTTTTGGCGCAGGGTTCAAAGCGCAGGAGGCACTCGGGCTGGAACCCACCTCTCGTAACCTACCACAGCCTCACAGCCCAGGGTGGGGGGGATTGCTCAGGAGGGACACGGACAGATCCACAACTGCCTGGGCCAGGGTGATCCAAAATAACCACGAGAGCCTGGGCTTTGGGAAATGAGACGCAGCCGACATCGCTTTAGGCTGACACAGAGGAGCTTTGGCCAGAAGAGAGGATTTTTGTTCTTCTGCAAGTGCTGCATGGTTATATGGTGTCCACTTCTATTTTCTGTAAAAGCCAGGTACGCAGCTGAAATTGAAACCCCCGCTACTCACAGCCTGTAACGATAAAGGAATGCCTCGACTGCCCTGTCCTTTAAGGTCAGCACGGTTTAAAGTTTCCCTGTGGACAAAAGTTATTTAGCTACGCTGCAGGGAATGAAAACGCTGGAGGTGCTGCCAAGAACTTGCTCACGGGAAGCAACACCTCTGAGAAACCGCACTTTCCCCAAGTTGTATTCCACTGAGAAACATTTGTCGGTCATCTTTAAATCTCTTTAACGGCACCGAATTAGACAGAGACAGAGCAATGATTTGACAGCTTCCTATCTGTTACCATGATGAACTACCAGACCCGTTTGTCAAGGTTTTCAAAACAGCCAGGGCACTCCACCTAGCAAAGAATATTATTTACCAGGAAAGTCTGAGATCTGCCATTGGCAGACAGCACTGTTTGCCCAGGAGCTACGAGACACCAAATATCCCTGCGAAAATATTTATACTGGGGAAAGGAGCTGGTGGTTTGGAATAGCTGCTGTTTGGCCTTAAGGACTCTCAAATGTGAACCTGCAGGGCTTAACGGTACCACTGGTTTTGTTCAGTATTTATAAGACAGTATCAGAGAAATCAATCTGCAGCCTAACGAGTCTTGTAGGTTCTCATTGCATTTATAAAGGAGAGCAACTTAAAGAAAAATTGGTGGTGGGGGGTGGTTTTAGGCAATGAGAAGAGCAAAGCTATGCAGAAATACCTGAAGATGGAAGATGCCTGCATGGCTGAAGCACACCAAGAATGGAAAGAGGCAGTAAAATAATTCCCTTGACAAGAGACAATGAGCCATAATCGCTGTCGTTACCTCAACCTAACCAAAAGGAGGTGGTTTTGTTGTGAATGCTGAATTATGTCACTAAGTCTGCACGGCTGGAGTCAGCGCTTCCCATGCTGGCTTCCGCTACATCAACAAACCAACCTAAATCCCAGAGAGGTGTAACCTGGCGCTGCCCTTTTTACGTCCTTCCCCTGACATTGGTGCCATTTTCCTGATACTCTATCAGGTGCAGAGGAGTTGTGGATGATGTTTTATTAATAGAGGTGTTGAAATGTTAGCCCAGCCAGGTATTTTAGCATGTTGCCCTCCGTTTCAGTGATTCACGGCCTCCCCTACAGACTTCTTCAAATCTTTCATGCGACAACAAGCTCCATAATGAAGGGAGAGAAATGACACCATTCGACAAACCCCAACTGCCCAAAGCAGCTCAGACACCCGAGAGCTTTTACCAAGCAGCTGAGCAAGAACGGTCATGAAACGGAGCGAGGCAACTGATCCGTTCACAGGTCATTATATCATCAAGATTACTAACTCCGTTTCTGCTGTTAATCCAATCTCACAGCCATGATATCATTCCACAGCATTATTTAGCGCCAGTTATTCACTCTGTGCCAGCTTCTCGTACTCTCCAACAGCTTAGGCACTAAATTAGCAGCGGATTTCGGTGGAGCAGGAATACAGGGAGCTGCCTTCCCCAGGATGCACTTACACAGATTTCGTCAAACTTCCCAAAGTCCAGGGTGCCGTATCGGTCAATGGGCGGCCGGATGTACTCGCAGTAATCGCTGTTCTTCACCATCTCCAGCTGCCGCACACAGCACACGTAGGCGAGCCGGGTCTGGATCTCTGCCATATTCAGCACCTGCCAACCAATCACGATTAATTCCGAAATTTCATTTCAGAATATGTTCTGTATTTGCAATGGAGAAAAACCAAGTTATCTATCAACTTTTTTTTTTTTGTCTCCAAGAGCGCACAGAAGCTTGCCGAAACCTTCACACATCAGCACCTCCATCTGTTTCCCAGGCAGTGTGGTCAGCGAGCCAATGAGTCTCCATCACCAACAGCAGAAAGGGAATTGCTTTCAAACATATTCCTGCCGTGCAAGGTTGAACCGAGTCGTTCAGGATACAGCAGCACCTCCAGGGAGAGCTGTGTGCCGAGGTGAGAGGGGCAGAGTGACCCTGCAGCAATGATCTCTGCAGCACCAGGGCAGAGATGTCGCAGAATGGTTGAGGCTGGCAGGGACCTCTCATGATCACCTGCTCCAAGCCCCTCACACAGGGTCAGCAGGGCCAGGCTGCCCAAGACCACGTCCAGCTGAGTCTGGAATAGCTCCACACATGGAGCCAGTGTTTCACCACCCCCACTAAAAAACAACCAACCAAACAGCTGCAGAGCCAGACAATTTAGGAAATGCAGAAGAAGAAATAACAGGGTTGACCTAAATGCATGCAACAAGAAAGAGAGAGAAAAAAATCACGCTCTGCAGCCCTGTGTTTATCAGTAGCAGTGATGTCAATTACTGCCTAGTGCTAAAATCTCCCTAAATCAACAGCTCAGAGACATACAGGATAGAAACACTGAACTGGACACAGTTAATACTTTTAATGGTAAAATTTTTAAATTCTGACTCTGTCAAAACTGACTGCACCCCCAAGAAAAGGTTTCTTTGCTAACAACGCTCCCATCCCCTGCCCACACTGGGGCTCTACCCTGTCCCACATCACCGCCTTTCCTCCAGTAACAGGGCACTGCCAGCTGTCCTCATCCCCGAGTAAGATCCCAAACCCAAGAACAACGATGGTCTATCACCAAGCTTGCTCTCTGAATGAACAAGGGAAGTTTCTTGCTCTGTATATAAACTGGGGTTTTCATTTTAATATTTTACTATAGCCTACAGTACCTTGACTTTCTCAGCCAGTGGATTCCACCTCTTCCAGAGCAGCCACCAGCCAGACAAGCAGTCGCCGTAGTTGGTGAGGTCTGTCTCATCCCGGCTCCCCACATCGATGGCGATCACCACCTTCGCGCCCATGGACCTGGCAACATCAGCTGGGGGAAATAAAGCGGTGTCAGCTCCAGGGCTGCTCAGCCAAAGTTTATGTACATCCTGCTGGGGCACAGAACCTGGCGTGGTACCTACTGTGAGCATCTCTGGACAGCTTTGGATAGAAACATTTGCAGCAACTCTGCCGTGGCACCATCTCCCACCCAACCTGCTCCATTTTAACAGAGATCCCACCTGGCACTGACCGAGCCCCTGCATAACCTCAGGGTGAGCTCCCATTGCTGGCAAACATCACTGGTGGGGTATGTTTTGTCCCAGATCAGTGGGATGGTCTGACTCTGAGGCCACGCTGTCACCAGAAGCCATGTGAAGGCCGCAGCAGAAGTGCACGGCAGGGAGCAGTGGAGAGGAGCGGGGCACACACAGCTTCAGTCCAGCCTTACACCACACCAAGTATGGTGTGACAAAGCACATTAAACCCACATTAATTCTACCTCGTGAAGCATTTCTCATGAGAACAAAAGATCTGGGAGACCAGAGGAGAGAGCAAGTGGCAGTGGCCTTCAGGAGGAGAGGCAGGGGTGCAGGGTCAACCTGCCAAGAGAAGGGAATAAAGGATGGGAGCAGCACTGGAACCAGGCAGCGAGGAGGGGCTGGGAGGATTTCAGCTAAGAAAAGCTTTGGGATCCAAGAGAAAGGTTGATATTTGCAAGTGGGAAAGAAATGAGGCCACACTTCCTACTCCAAGGTTAGAAAAAGGACGAGCTGCAGCTTTTGGATACGGGCGAGGATTTAGGGAAGTGCCAAGGGAGGGAAGAGAAGGACGCGGAGCTCACGGAATGAATTTATATTTCTTCCACACCCCCAGAGTCCAAGATAGTTGCAGTTTCCAGAATAGTTACGCGTAGGAAAAACCACAGCTCTGAAGAGCCAATTTAGATGCTTAATTTAGACACTCTTTTAAGTCAGATCTGTTCTGTACCTTGGATTTACATCCCTGGGCTCGTTCGGTCTATTGTATCTTTTCCACCCAGTGTCACCTGCGTCCATGCTCTCTGCCCTCTCCAATATGTGCATGTGGAGAAGGTGCTGTGGTTTGCAATTCCTACTTTTGATTACAGACACACACAGAGAATGTCAGATGCAGAATTTGGGGGTCTATTCTGTGTCATTTCCATTTCAGGGTTTTAGGCACGTAAAGCTCTGATGGAAAAACATAGTCTGGGCTTGTCTGAAACATGTGAATGACTTGGGCTGCTCGGATGCAAGGCTCTGACTCGAATCCCTCCCTCTTTATTTGTGCACCATTTCAGTCCCAAACCGCAGTGACACCACATCTGGCTCTCCTGCCCTGGCCACCCACCTCCCCACAGTGACTGCAGTGGCAGCGCTGATGGGAAACACACCCAGCACACACAGGTGAATTCGGATGCCTCAAACCCTTTTGTGTTCAGCCCGCAGAGCGCCCCAAATCCACATCACTCTTGTGAACACCAGGCAATCCCAGCTCTGCCAAGACACCCACGTCCAGCAGCTGAACCCTCCCAGCTCTGGGTGACACCAGTCTGGAAAAGGAAGAGCTAATGCTGCTGCTTTCTCAGAATTATTTCTTATCCAACTGGTACTTTTTGAAAAGCAACTCAAAGACAGGCTGCATGTGCGCAGTTTAATTTCTGCTCTTTCCTTTCAGCGAGCACTAAAATAAATTCACATTTGTCTTGGAATTATATGTTCAGAATATGTCTAGCAGGAAACAGTTCGTAACAAAAACCGGTCTTAGTAAAGCTACGACAAAGCAAACACCTAGGAAACGGAGAACGACGACTCCTGGTAACCATCACGGGATTAAAGGTGTCTGCAGCATTTCTCCTTGTTGCCTTTTTTTGGGGAAAAAAAAAAAGAAGAGGACAAAGTTTTGCAGGCTGTGCACTCGGTGATTCGGGTACCGGATCTGAGCACCCACCTGGCAGGTTGTTGATGTAACCTCCGTCCATCAGGAGGTGCCCGTCCTTCGGGTCACAGAGGGGCGGCATGTACCCGGAGAGGGACATGCTGGCGCGGATGTACCTCCACAGGGAGCCTGCGGGAACACCGGGAGAAAACGGCAACGGCGTTAATTACTGCCACGGAGGGCGGGGAGGCTTCTGCACTCATTAAAATAATCTGGAGATGGAGGCTCTCCTGAGAATACCATTAGAAAGTTATTAAAGCAGTTTATTATCTTTTATATCTTAATCCTGGCTAGGATTGGGGAAATAAAGGCGGCTATTGAGCCATATAACCAGGCAAAGGCCTGAGAAACCACGGATTTGAGCCCATGCCTCATATTTATTGTCCTGAAGGAGATTTCAGCATATGCCTGACTGCGGGGATCATCTTCAGCGCTTTGTTCAGCTTCCACTGATAAGGAAAGGAAAAGGCTTCTCCTGGGGACAAAGGGACAGAAAGGATGAGCAGATTGCAGCACAGCAAAACCCATTACGTTCCACAGAGATCCACGAGACCCAGGCTTGCAGCAGGAGTTGAACATGAAAAACAGATGCTACAGAAGCCCCAATTTTCTCTTTTCTGTGCTCTGTAATAAGCCAATGCTTTCACTTGTACAACTCTTATCTCTTCCTGGGACATTTCTGTTAACAGCGCTGTAAGCAAGAAAGTTATCATCTTCTAAGCTGTTAATAACAAGAAAGTTTAATCAAGTAGAAACTGCTTGGATCTGTTTCCTGTGAACCATTCTGCTTTAAGGCTCCTATTTACCAGTTTCTCTCTTGACATTTGCATCAGCCGAATTGGGCAGACACTGCATTTCCAAAGAGGCCAAGAGTCGTGTTGGAGAAGGGAATCTTTAAAATATCGGAAGTAACCAAGAGTGCAGCGTTAGCTCACTTCTCCATAATTAACTGCTTGGTGCTTCAAACAGCAACGCTTTCCAGCAAACCGGGAATTGATTATTTTCTTTTCTTTTCTTTTTTTAAAATATCTAACAGTTCTCTTTCTAATTTCAACCTCAGCACTCCTACTATTTAGCACAGGTCAATACTGGCAGATCTGGGGTTTATTATTTAATAGTTTTAGTTGAGTTGAACTTCCACTCAAGAAAATTGCTCACTTCTTGTGTTGCAAGATGGGCAATTCACAGAATCATGAAGGTTGTAAGAGACCTCCAAGATCATCAAGTCCAGCCATCAACCCAACCCCACCATGGCCACTAAACCATGTCCTGAAGTGCCACATCCACACATTTTTTGAGCCACTCCAGGGATGGGGACTCCACCACCTCTCTGGGCAACCTGTTCTGATGCTTGACCACTCTTTCAGTAAAGAAATTTTTCCTCATATCCAAACTAACTCTCCCCTGGTGCAACTTGAGGGTATTTCCTCTCGTCCCATCGCTTGTTACGTGGGAGAAGAGATTGACCTCCCCCTCACTATCCCCTCCTTTCAGGAGCTGCAGAGGGGATAAGGTCTCCCCTCACCTCCTCTTCTCCAGGCTGAACCCCCCCAGCTCCCTCAGTGGCTCCTCACAGGACTTCACAGAATCCCAGCATGTCAGGAGTTGTCAGGGCCCTCTGGAGCTCCCCCAGTGCAACCCCTGCCAGAGCAGGATCACCAGAGCAGTCACACAGGAACACGGCCAGGGCCTTGGGTGTCTCCAGACAAGGAGACTCCACAACCTCTCTGGGCAGCCTGGGCCATGCTCCATAACCCTCACACTGACAAAGTTTGGCCTCATGTTCAGCTTGAACCTCCTGTGCTCCAGCTTGGGACCATTGCCCCTTGTCCTGGCATTGGACATCCCAGAGCAGAGCCTGGCTCCTTCCTCCTGACACTGCCCTTTACTTGTGGCTCCAGACCTGTCCCCATCACCAACTGCAGCAGCTGGGCCCTTCCTTCCTCTCCTGTCAGTGAATTCTGGAGGTGTCCATAACCATTCTCCAGTCCATTTCTACCCTGACATTAAACTTCTGCAGGGAGCGCAGCTGGATGGGGTGAGCTTCCTGACCTCAACTGGCTGAACCTGCTGCAGAACGGGAACACAAAACCCCTAGGAAAGGTTGATCCTTTGTCTGCTGTAGCTCCCTTGGGTGTCCTCGGTCAGCACAGCCCCAGTGTCAGTGTAATTTAGGGGTTCTGTAACCCCTGCCCTCACAGCGGGGCTGGAGAGCCTCACCTTTCAGTAAGACAACATCAGAGACACAGCAGCAAAGGTTGTGGCTATCCAAGGAAATGTCTGGGGCACCCGGTACCGTCTGAGTCACTGCCCCCTTACCCCACACAGACAAAAGCTACAGCGGGTGCCCCATGGGGCAGCCACCGCCTCCCGACAGCAGAGCAGACAGCTCGGAGATTTCCCCTCTGTTCAGTCAGGAAAGCATACCACAGATTTCCACCAGAGAAATAAAGAGGACTGGAGACAAAGAAGGACCTGACCCAGCCTCTGCTGCAGCACGGGAGTCTCTCTACGGGGCAGACAGCTTCATTTACGGGTGTTGCTGTTTTGACACTTGTTCTATCACCCGAGAAGGGGAATCAGGAAAAGGAAGGGAGACCCATGGGTTGAAATGGAAACAGATGTAATAAAATAGTAGTAAAAATTTAAAATCTATTATTAATACCAATGCAAAGTACACCAAGTCATACTCAGCCCATACAGTGGTCACAGGCTGCGTGCTCCCAGCAGTGAATGCCAAACACCACCACAAGCATCACAGCTCCAGCGAATGCACGAGGGTCACAGCGAGCCGAGGAGCAGAGCGATGGGCAAGACCCTTCTGGGGTCCGCTGAGGAAAGAGGGCCCTCCCCAGGAAACTCCCCAATTTACAGTGAATGGGAATTTTACATGCGACATAAACACAAGTTTATGGTATGGGATAATTCTGTGGCCAGCTTGGGGCAGCTCCTTGGCTTTCACGCCCCCAGCTTCTGTACCCAGCTAACTCAAACTGCTGCAGACCTCCATCACTACTGCCATACCAGGGCTGGCCAGAAACTAAACCAAAGAGTGTCACATCAACTTCATCTCCACCAAATCAAGTGTTGCAGTCTTGTAAAAAAATGCAGCTTTCCTGAACAGCAAATTATTTCTGTGATTCTATCCCAGCGAAACCAGGGCAATGGGGAATTTGAATCTTAAAGTGTTTTGGTTGCATTAGGTCTGATTTATGGCTCGAACACCTGCACTTCACGGGATGTTTTAAGGGAACAGAATGGTGTCAACAGACCCATTTTCTCTCTAAACAGTGAACACAGCGTCTCATTTTATTTCTTCCCAACAGCTCTGTTCTTTGTGATCTGGGTATAACCACAGTTTGGTGCCCAGCAAATAACAGAGAAGGGAGAAACAAAAGGCAAGAGACATTTAAAGGGGAGGAAAACTCCAGAAAGAAGGGGTGACACTGAAGTCTCACGTCATTATGGAGGACCTGCTGCTGGAGAAGGCCGCCCGCACACTCACCGTCTGTGTGGACCCTCATCGCTGAGGCAGTGATGTCGGTTGTGATCGTGAAGTAAGGAATCCACAGATCCTGCAACAGAGGAGGTCCCCATTTTACTAAACCTGTAACCTTGCACTTAAAGCAAAACCCATGCCTCACAAAAACCAAAGCAACGAGTCTGTACCTTAACAGACAGAGCTGCAGACACGGACACCTGCATGGATGGAGAAAAACCTGCCAGCCCTGTGCTTAGATCCATACATTTCTTATGCAGACATTTCATTCAGAACCAAGGCAGACAAAAATCCTTATTTCCCTTTTTTAATAGCAAGAAATACTTGTTCCAGGAGACTGCCCAGCACACAGAGCAGCACAGAAACCTCATCATTCAAACGAGAGTTCACCTTCTTCCCGAGATCTGGTTTTCTTTCAGATGAAGTGTGGAGATGTGATGGTAACTCTCATCTAAAGGGATCTCTAGGCCGTTTATTGCTGGAGGACAACACAAAGGGCAGGTTCACCTTTGAGATATTCAGTTCCTATCTAGGTTGCTAAATACCTGCTGCTTTTGGCCTCTCCTGAAGACACGGCATTAGGCTAGAAAGACCTTTGATCACCCACTGTGGCCATTCTTGCATTTCATGCAGCCGTTTCCCCTCGGGGTGGTGTTCACCCACCACACAGAGCAAGTCTTCCATAATTCAGTTCACCATGGATAAGCCTGCAACGACTCGGTGCTCCCTAACCCCAACCCAAGACTGCAGCTGGCAGCACCTTCCTTGCCTCAGTTCCCAAGACGAAGAGGGAAGATGGTGAGTCCTGGCCTTTTGACTAAATCACATTGAATTTGTACCTGGTGGTGAAGAAGCTAGGGCTCATT